CTCATATGATTACAATGAACTGAAGCAAGAGGCTAGTGGTCCACAATCTTGCAGCTCACTGTCACCTCAAGAGAACTCTCCCATTCTTCAGCAGCGCTCTGGCGATTACAATCCTCTTCATTAATTTTATCTCGGACATAAACTTTTAATAAGCCGACAATCAGTGGATGGGACTTCCAGGGCAGTTTAAATGACTGCAACCTATAATTACAGTTCCAGAACTTGATTAGAATAATCTGATTGCAATTATTCAGTGATTTTCAACACAGGCCTCAAGCTAGATAACTATAATTCAAGTACATGTTCCTGGCTGGCTGTAAAACGTTGTTCTAATCCAGGAGTAGTAGAGAGACTGCACAGAGGGGAGCAACGTGTAATATAAACGTGCAGCACGTATGTAGTATAGTGGAATAAGGCACACTGGGGTGTGAATTTAATTAATGTGCCAGCTCTGTAGAGGGCATTGTGGATCAAGGGCCACTATGGATCAAGGATCTACCCTATTCAATAATAAGTAGAGCGATACACATCCCAGTGGCGTGCACTGCAGTTACTGCACAGCTAATAACAGCAGTCAGTTTTAGTTAATGGCTGACAAAAAAAAAACAAAAAAAAAAAAACACACAGCCTCACCCTTGCTAAAGTGGATAATCACACTTGGATAAGATACCAACTTGATAACAACTTGTGCTGTAATCATAAAGACTGTACTGAGCTCATTGCCAGCACTTTTATTCATACTGTACATCCTTTCAGCACTCTTAGTACTGTTATAGAACTCTAGAAGAGTAATGATTTATAATCTAGAAAAGGATGGCATCCCTTTCTAGTCTGGTTCCTCTTAAGATTTCCTGCTCATGTCATCTAGGTTGTTTTTTCTTGCTATGTTATATCTGGCTTATTCGGGATCTTAATATGTATCCAGATTTCTGGAAAAAATTGAATTGAATCGACCGTCTTGGGTTAAACTGTTTCAATGTTAAACATTACTGAAGTTTATGCATCTTTGATCAACTAAAACACACACACTTTTCTCCTGTGGGTTACTGTGAAGACAAATGGAATACAGAACCAATGTAAATATCATTTTTGGCTCTAACATACACGATTTTAAAAATACACGCTGTGGAAGCCATTTACTTGGGCACAATTATGGTCATTAAAATCTTAGAAGAAACATTACACTAAGGCAATGACCTAGAGGTTTATGGTAGCTCATCTAAACCATGATGAAACAGTGGAAACCCAACATCATCCAGCCACTCTTGTAAAGAGGCTAATTAACAAGGACACAACAGATCTTGAAGTAAGAGTCATTTCCACAGCCAATATAATGACTAGATTAATCTGGCTTCTCTCCCAGCAAAAGTACATGTAAGTGGGGTGATAGTGGCAGACCTGCCAACCTTCACACATTTTGAATAGGAGCTCCATATTTTGACACTACGAGTTCTCACTTAAAAATACACCAAAACAGCACTCTTCTTTTTTCCTCCAATAAAAACAGCAGCTGAACAAATCGATATATGAATCTGGCATGATTGAAAACTGCATAGATGTTTTGACCGCTCCAATATTAATTGACACCCCCACCTCCAGCTCTCATGTAGTAATCTTTTGGCCAGTACTCTTGTTTCATCTCAATTTTCCCGCTAATGCTTTTCCCACAATTACGCGGTGCCTTTGCTTTCAGTCAAGCTAAAGATATATTAGTAATATCTTGAGTTCAATAAAATGTGAAATGTGAAAAAAAAATCTGCCAATTTGAGCTGACATTAGATAAGTACTGTGTATAGCTAACAATATTATTACAGATACACCAATATCTCACAGAATATTTCTAGAAAATTGTCAAAAACAACATTTTGGGTAATTGCAGGCACATTTAAACAGTTGAGCAGTAGGACAGCAGTAAAAATGTCACAGGTGTGGAAGCATTTCAGTTCAAATCAATTTAATTCATTTGTATAGCGCTGTTAACACTGGGCATTGACCCAATGCAGATTTACAGAAATATATAAATTCAGGATATATATTTTAAATGTATGAATTTGTCCCTAATGAGTGAACCAGAGGCGACTGTGGTGAGGAAAAACTCCCTTAGACGATATGAGGAAGAAACCTTGAGAGGAACCAGGCTCAAAAGAGAACCCGTCCTCATCTGAGTGACACCAGATAGTGCAATTATAAATAAATCCCTTCTATAACTGTGCTAATACTACATGGTCAAATAGTGCAGTTGTGTCACCAGGAAATTCATAAAAAAAATTTTTACATGAAGTGTTTTGTTCAACTTCTCCGCTGTTCACTAATGGAGACGTGAGTGCAAAACGTTTTGTGGTAATTGCAGTGCTAAAGCTATAATAGCAATCCCAATTCCAAAAAAGTTGGGACGCGGTGTAAAATGGAAATAAAACAGAATTCAATGATATGCAAAATTAAGTGAACCCAAATGTTATAAACAAGAGAACATCACATATCAAATTTTTAATCTGAGGAAATGTACAATTTAAAAATTTGAATTTGATTGCTGGAATGAATTTGATTCCAGCCCATCTTTACTTCTGAGAGACTCTGCAGTAGAGTGACCTGTTAACTGACATGTTCCAATGAACCTAATCAGTTGCAAAATGTTCCTCCAGCTGTTTTTTTTAGTAACACTTATTTTTCCAGCCTTTTGTTGCCTATGTCCCAACTTTTTTGAGACGTGTTGCAGCCATCAAATTGAAAATTACCTTTTTTTTTTTTTTTTCTTAAAATGGTACATTTCCTCAGTTTAATCATTTGATATGTTTGATATGTTCTATTGTAAATTCACATGAACTGTTCACATGAATTGAGGTCCAAAGGTTATGGTTTTTACATGGTACCATCCTCAGCAATCTCAATGATCTTTAGGCTGCCACATGTGGGACCATCCTCAGCAGCAACACTTCCAGTTGATGAGAACTCCAACCAGCAGTAGGGTGTATTAGGTATTAGGTAGATGGACTGAATTTATAAATTTATAAAGAATTTCTTCTGTTACAGTCTTCTGTTACAGTCGTCTTGTTTATCTTTTAAACCTGGTTGATCCTGATTTCAGAAGCAAATAAATCCCAAAAATCTAGAAAATGTACAAATATGTTGCATTTTTACATATATAAAAGTGTCTGCTAAATGAATAAATGTAAATGTTAATATAGCCCCTCACCCAGCACTATTCATTATTCCATTTCAGGTCTTCAGTGCACTTAACACTATTCTGAGCAACATTACAAATTAAAGCATGGAGAATCTCTATAATCAGTGACACACTCCTAACCTTGACAGATTTGGACTATAGAAAACTGAGGGATGAAAAAAGCAAGTAAACTTAATAAGACTCTAATCTCATTAGCGTGTCCCATCCGCATGTCCACATGCGTCTGCTAATCCATGGTGCACTATCAGAAATACGAGTGTAATCCTGCGAAGAGGACAAAGAGCGCAGAGTGTAATTTAATTGTGGTTGATCTGTGGGTCAGTTAGTTAATGTAATCCCTGAGGATATAAGGTATACATGCTATAATGCGTAGTTACACGTCATTAGCGTGCCGTTTCATCTCTTGTGAACGGATCCAAGCAAAAAACAAACAAATGGATAAAGAGGAGACAAAGAAGAAGACAGGATTGTTAATGTGTTCCAAACTCCTTTCTTGTCAAAGCCTTGTATGGAAATCCTACGATGTACAATTCACCTTTCTTATAAATGTCGCACTGGCATATAAATGTCTACATCAAAACTAGTGGAAATAATTTAAGAAATTTATAAGACCTTTTACTTTCAAAGTCATCGGAACTTTTTAGAACAGTGAGGAAACTTTCTTTTTTTTCTCTTCCAATCTTTGTCTATTTTGGCCCTAAGAAATACATTGCAATTAAATCAGGATCAACCCTGGAAGTTGAGGCCAAGAAAGAGAGAGGGAGAGAGGGAGAGAGCGAGCGAGCGAGAGAGAGAGAAAAAGAAAGAGAGAGAGAGAGAGAGAGAGAGAGACTGAAAGAGGCAGAGAGGCAGGAAAGGAAGGCCTGGAGTACTGCCAGGACAGGCAGAACCAGCTGGTCCCTGTAAGCAGCAGCCTGATCATGGCCTCCTGATATCTCCTCCCTCAACATGGTGAAGCCGGCACACACCTGCCACATCGAAACCCTTTACTCCTCCAAGTGCAATACAAATTAGCTGTTGAACTAATGCCATGGTTCTACAGCTTGTAGCCTTTTACTACTGACCTCTGCTATGGGCTACCAATTCATCACATGATTCCCTTGTCTTGTGTCCTAAATTTGTGAACATTTGCTTAGGTGGCCATTTAGGATTTTGTGATTGGTTGATTTTTAAATTTATTTATATAAAACAGCGGCTCTGACAGTTGCATCTGCAAATTAGAGGTGCATATTGACACGCTTAATCTGATATGTTATTGTTTCTATAGTAACAGTGTAAACTGTATGTAACAAGAGATTTATTCAGCATTTACGGAAGGAGTCTCCAGTGTCAGTAAGTTTGCATCATGGGAGAATCTTCAGGACAGAAGGGTTTGCGCTTTGTGGTTTTCTTAGTAACAAGAAGCTGCATTTTTTTGTGTTATTATCTGAAAGAGAGAGAATGGGGGAAAATAGGCTGTTGAAGTAATAGCAATTTAAACCTTCTATAACATGAGTGATGAAAGGCACTAACTTGTAAATGAATAAAAATGTATGATGTGCAACTGATCAATTAATAAATGTAATCATTGGTAGATTGTTGTAGTATCCATCCATCCATTTTCTGTACCACTTATCCTACATGGGGTTGTGGGGGAGCCTGGGGCCTATCCCAGGGGACTCAGGGCACAGGTGGGAAGACACCCTGGGCGGGATGCCAGCCCACTGCAGGGCACAATCACATGCACATTCACACACCCATTTGCCAATCAGTGCACATCTTTGGACTAGTGGAGGAAACCCCTGAGGCACAGGGAGAACATGCAAGCTCGGAGGCAGGGCAGAGGTGGGAATCGAACCCCCAACCCTAGATGTGTAATGCAAGCACTAACCACTAAGCCACCATGCCCCCAATTGCTGTAGTATAAGAAGAATACCAAACTATGGAATGTGCTGTTATGGAAGTATAATTAAACATTAATTTTAAGTAATTATTAATGACTGGTACTGTACATGCTATACATATAACCTCCTGCAAGCAAATATGTGTCCTGCAGCACACTTGCGATAAACCACCTGACTTCAACAAATGTAACACTGTCTGGAGTCTTGAATATGACTCATTAGGCCTCTGTTATTGAAGTAAATGAGAAGATGGCCAGGTTGGCATTACAAACATGCCACTCCTCCAGGATGTATAAACCCAAAATGCGTATGCCATCAGAAGCCCAACGATTAATTAAATCATCATTAGGTGCCTGTCGCCAAGGCCTCAGTGCTGCTATGGGTTTTTTTTCTATATCACGTAGCACGGATATGACAAACTAGAGATTTCCACAATGTGCAAATTGGATTTTTTTTTTTACCTATGTGACTGACACTCAATTGCATAGTAGCTGCTTATGCAGTGAAGATGAGCATATATTATGAGCGGCATTGTGTGGAATGTCACAATGATCATTCCATATCATCAATGTTATTCATACACAAATCATTATTATTTTTTTTTTTTTTTAATTAACAATGTTTCTATACATAAAGTCTTTGGATGCTTCCAGATCTAGATACTCATCTAATTGAGTAAACATACATGATTATAGTGTATAATATAATATACTAAAGCTATTGCTGAGGTGTAGGATCCTTAGCACCTAGTGCAAATTAAGGTGTAACACAATGCCAGTGTATCTATATCTGTTTAGTTCTCTAAATATCTTCACCTGTATTATTTTTTTGCATTCCAACCAGCTCGCAAAATTTTCGAACAAATCTTTTTGTTCCTATCTCCCATAATACAAACTAACTAGCAGATTAACTTAAACTACCATGAACACTGTAAATACATAGTTCATGATAACGAGTATGTTCTGTGTTTGTCCCGTACGTTTCATATCTGTCCACTTTCCCACATGAAAATTAAAACTTCATACACATGGGATTTTTTGTGGAATAATATGAGATACCAGTGCCTTTGCACACCTATAGTACACCTCAACATATATATATATATATATATATATATATATATATATATATATATATATATATATATATATATATATATATATATATATATATTTTTTTTTATTTTTACTCTTGTCAACAATGATAAAACATCATTATAACTGTGCTCTCATGATGGTTCTCTGTGTTTGTTTTCACTGCTCAACTTATAAAAGTAGATATTTATGGGTAGCAATAGTTGTAATCACACTGAAAATTGTAACAAAGAGGAAATAAAAATACTAATATAGTGTGCACTGTATGTATGTATGTATATATATATATATATATATATATATATATATATATATATATATATATATATATATATCTTTTATGTATGTATGTATATATATATATATATATATATATATATATATATATATATATATATCTTTTATGTATGTATGTATGTATATATATATATATATGTATGTATATATATATATATATATATATATATATATATATATATGTATATATATATACATACATACATACAGTGCACACTATATTAGTATATTTTATTTCCCTCTTTGTTACAATTTTCAGTGTGATTACAACTATTGCTACCCATAAATATCTACTTTTTATAAGTTGAGCAGTGAAAACAAACACAGAGAACCATCATGAGAGCACAGTTATAATGATGTTTTATCATTGTTGACAAGAGTAAAAAAAAAGCTCCACTCATCTTCAGAAAACTCAGTCATTTGCCAGATGATTAATACTGTATAACTGTATATAATGAGGTCGCGAGGCAGAGAGGCAGAGAAGAAAAAGTGAAAGGATTCACAATCAATGAACTTATTACACTCTTCTTTTGAAATAACCATAGAGAGCTCTAACAAAAATAATTCAGAGAAGAAAAGTGGGGTCCTGGAATCAAAAGCTGTCACATCAAGGGCCTATTTTCGACCATAGAATTCCTCGCAAATGGTTCTTACCCACATATAAAGACAGTGTGTTTGAAAGAAAGAAAAAAAGAGAGAAGTGAGGTGAAAGAAGGCTACGGTGAATACGCTATATAGCAGGGCTGCCTTTTTGTATTTTCCAAGGGGTGGAGTCTTCAGTTCACAATTAACCTGTTTCCAAATAATCTGCAAGAAAAAAGAAAATTTACTTTTTCAACAAGAGCATTTTTTTTCACAGTGTAGCACACACACACACACACACACACACACACACACACACACACACACATCTAGAACTAAAAAGACGAAAGCGTTAGTTTCATTGTACTGGCCCACTTAAATCTCACTTCCAATTCACTAAATGTGCTATTTGACTTGGCAAGTGTGTTGGTATGTGCTGTAGGCCAGAAGGATGTCTAATCATGGGGAGTGCGAGTTTGTGGGCAGCCCCTTCTGGGCGGCATTCGCCTCAGCTCGTGACCTTAAGCTAAGTGGGTGGTTCAGCCATGAGAAAAAGGAAAACAGTGCATAGTGTTAACCTTTTACTTGAACCTCATGCTCCATTTTTGAATTGCCTACAATGTAGAAACCCGGTATTGTGGGGGAAAAGTGTAAAAGTGTTAGGGGGGGGGTTTGTTTGAAGAGAATCGGGTACTGCTAAAGGAGTTGGCAGGGATTGGTGTAATGAAATGGCCAGGCAAACACTGAAAGTACTTATGTTTTCATTTTAAACATTTACAAAAGGACTTCTTAAGTGATGGCCTGAATTTATACTGGAATATCAAATTATTACTTCAAGCAAGGCAATTTTAAGCCATTTGGAAAACCAAATAAAACAACTCAATGCCTGGCTCAGAGCACCAAGAGGTTTTTCTGATCTATATTTGGTAGTGGATCCAGTGTTTATGAGAGCTTCTGTCAACTCTTATAGTTACAAATGATTTGTTAGTCTCCAAATATAACCACAGAGGACAATAAACTAGTAGAAGGTGGCAGGGACAGCAAACACTGTGTCCGGCTTCTACCCCCTCTTTTATACTAAAAATGGCTGCCCTTCATCTTTAAAATCCTCTGAGTAATAACATGACATCAGGATCAAAAATCCTAAGAGGCATGAATCGTTCACTGCCAAAGACAGTATTAATAATATAAAAAATAATTGAGGCATTTGGGAAACCAATCCTCAGACAAGATCAGTGAGAAAGGAGTAAAAGAAAACCCTCATGGACAAAATTCCATGATCCATTCCTGGAGTTTAATCCTACAGGACAACTGTAACAAGCGGTCCATCTTCAGTAAGCACTTTATACCGGTCAGGGCCATTGCAGTGCACCATGCACCACACGTTCACACACTTCTTCATACATAGTGGCAATTTAGAGTCACCAATTCACCTCGGGAGGTAGACGGAAACCAAGGAACCAGCAGAAAACCCACATGGACACAGAAAGTACATGTAAGACTCCATACAGACAGTAACCTGAGCTCAAGATTGACCCTGGAGCTGTGAGATAGCAACACTACCCGCTATGCTGATGCTAGAGAAGCTGACACTTTTTAAAACATTGAACGGTTTTCTTAAGTAATTATGACTATCCCTAAAGTATAAGCCCACTCCTCTCTCCTGTTGCTTTCACACGTCCACACATCCCACTGGAGCCTTTTTACACAGGATAGAAGAAGAGTCATGAGAACCATAAAGCACTGATCCCAGTGATAAGCTGCATGACTCGGTGTATTTGTCAAAGAAAATGCTTAAACACACAATAGCCTTGTCTGCGATGTAAATTCCTCTGACAACTCTATTTCATCCATGTCTTATTTTACTATGCGGTTCTTGGCAACCGCCTTTACTGAAACCTAAACACAGTTATTATGGACCTTCACTGGCTTATCACAGGACATTAGTCAATGCAAATGTAAATCTGGTTAGAGCAGGAGAAGGAAAAGGCATTTGGTCGGGTTTGAATCAGCATGCGCTCTATAAAACTACACATCCAAGGCTAATGCATATGTTTGGTAGCAGTGTAGCAGAAAAATACTGTATGTAACACAATTGTGTGGAGAAAAAAAGGGCACTACCGACAATGAAAACCACTTTAAACTCAAGGTCGTAATTTTTTTTTTTTGATGTGTCAGTATTGACTATGGATGTGAGAAAAACATTTCTTCCCTTAATAACAGAATAGCAGGATGTTCTTTAACCATGACTGATTTATGTGTAACTCTTGGAATGGCTTGTGGAAATGAATGCCTCAGTGTCCACACACACACACACACACACACACATACACCTGTAACTCAGCTAAACCATCAAGAAAATGTGTCTAAATACACCAATTTATATCAATCCATTACCTTCCATCATATTATATCCATTATGTTCTTTGTATTCTTTCACCATATTTATGGTGTGATGATTTGTTTCTGCATTTAGTCAACCTTGTATTTCATTCCACATAATTATATAAACCTCGCATGCCTGAATCAACAATCTGCAATGAACAGGCTTTCTTTTATTACAGGGGAAAAAAAACAAAAACTAAAAACTAAAAACAACAAATAACAAAAAAAAAAAAACCCAGACACTAACACACAATAATGTCTGCCTGCCTGTGGTGAAACTCAGAGTGACCCCTGGGACAGCTGTGGCTTTGTAGGGATTGTTGATCAAAGCTACAAACTGTGCTATTGACATTGACTTATTTTATCCAGACTGTCTAGTAGAGAACATTCCACTCATGTTAATGACTATAAAAATGAAATGAAATGCATATCCAGGAGGAGTGTACAGTATCTCAGTCCATGCCCATGGTCTGTAGTATGAAGGTGGGATGAGCTGACAACCTGTCTCAGTTCAAACATGTTCTCTCAAGTGGCTTCACACCACATATGTGTACGCCTGCCTCTCATTCCTGAGAGGATAGTGTAGGAGTGCAGGATAACTGAAAAGAAGACAGTCTGGAGCATTTGAATACTGACGGGAGGTGGG